TGTCCGACTCTTTGCGACCCCATGAATCGCAGCACGCCAGGCCTCCCTGTCCATCACAAACTCCCGGAGTTCACTCAAACTCATGCTCATCGAGTTGGTGATGCCATCCAGCCATCTCATCCTCTGTTGTCCCCTTCTCCTCCTGCCCCCAAACCCTCCCAACATCAGGGTCTTTTCCAATGAGTCAACTCTTCGCATCAGGTGGCCAAAGTATTGGAGTTTCAGCTTCAGCATCAGTCCTTCCAATGAACACCCAGGACTGATCTCCCTTAGGATGGACTGGTTGGATCTCCTTGCAGTCCAAAGGACTCTCAAGAGTCTTCTCCAACACCATAGTTCAAAAGCATCATTTTTTTGGTGTTCAGCTTTCCTCACAGTCCAACTCTCACATCCATATGTGACCACTGGAAAAACCATAACCTTGACCAGATGGACCTTTGTTGGCAAAATAATGTCTCTGCTTTTTAGTATGCTATCTAGGTTGGTCATAACTTTCCTTCCAAGGAATAAGCATCTTTTAATTTCATGGCTGCAATCACCATCTGCAGTGATTTTGGAGCCCCAAAAATAAAGTCTGACACTGTTTCCACTGTCTCCCTATCTATTTTCCATGAAGTGATGGGACCAGATGCATGTTAAGAGTTTAGAGATTATGTAAACATTTGAAGAAAATAAGAAAACATAGTTTATAAATGAAAAAGAAACGGCATTTGGCTGCTCATTGTTTTGGAACTCATTAGCCAGAAACTTTCATAAACTGTTATCTTCCTTTGGAAAATGTTACATTTCCCCCTGTCCACTGATCCTGCAAATACTTACTTACTCCCATCTTGTTAATCCTTACCTCTTTTAGATCTGATGTCTTCATCCCCATTCCCACCCCTTTTACCCAAGGTAATCTGCTCATTTCTTTAAAAGCAGTGGTTTCCATGATTGGGGAAGAAACAGACAGTGAGAAATCAAATAGTGAATATTTTAAGGTTGGAGCTCTCTTGGAAGAAGCTGAAGAGAAACTGAGGGACTTTTTGCTCTAGGGATCTGTACTCACCTGGCAGTTTTGTGCCAAATCGAAAACAAACCCTTTCTACTTGGCATCCTGCGATTGTGTCTAATCTTGAGTCAAAGTGCAAATATTCTTAAGAAAATGATTGTTTTCCTTTAAAATAGGTGTTCTTGAAGGCTTTGCTACATTCTAATTGAGACTTCACCGTGCCTAAGAGTCAAAATGTTTTCTAAAGGAACAGCTCTCTCATGTGGCATTTGCAAAAAAAAAAAAAAATTGAGAAAATGTCTTTCAATAGTGAAATCTGTTTTGCAGGAAAATATCCAGGAATTAACTCACTCTGTAAAGTGGGTTCTGTCTGCATAACCTGACACTTCTCTTTCCTCTTCAGCACCTTTTGTTTATGGGAACAGGGGGCCAGTTCAAGCCTTCTGAAATTGTTTATAATCACTGTGACTTCACAAATACTTTGCACCTTGAAGGTGGGAGAGGAAGGAAAAAGAAAGACTAAGAAAATTCTTATTTCTAACCCCATTAACCAAAAAAAAGTGGGTCTTATGTGCACACCCGGTAAACATAGAAGCAGAGTTGAAATGCAGGCAAACAAACCAAAAGTACTTCAGTGAAACTTGGAATAGATTTTCTCTAATTATATGGTTCTACTCCATAAGGTTTTAAAAAACTTTAAGGGGTTTTCTTTAAAGGTGGGAGGATGGAGTTACTATAATTAAAAAAAAAAAAAATTCTTAAAATAAGAGGGCAAATGGTTGAGACTTGGAAAAGAATTTTTTGTATTGGATTTTTATTTGACCGCTGCTTAACTTTATGGCCTTTGAGAGTCAAAAGAGCTCTCTAATTATTAAAAGCCCTAGTATTCATATGCTTTCTTCATTGTCAAGTCTTTTCTCTTCATGCCAGTTTATTACAACAGCTATCCATGTGGACTCCCAACTTCTAGCTTCTTTGCTTGTCTGCCCGGGCCCCTAAATCTTCCCACATAATACTTTTCAGTTTCAGTTTTCTAAGACACCATTTTTAAGAGCCTTCCTTGTTGCCTGGGGTTTAAAGCCTGAATCTGACCACCTAGGGTCCAGGGCTCTCTGCAGTCTGGCTACAAGATGTCAGTGCTGCCTTATACCTCTCTTCCCTGGCAAGACCCTTCTACTCCAGCCAGCTCTTCTGCACAGCCCTCCTGATTAAGGCCTCTGCTTTGCTCTCTGACTTTGCTCATCTTGTTTTCCCATTCTTCCCTCCTGGTCTTTCCAACTCTGGAGCCCACATACATGTAGTATTTACTGTCTGTTCTGTATCTGTTGGCAGATGAGAACAGTGAGAAAAGAATTCAGATTTTTAGATGAAAAGGCTGGAAAAAAAATGTTTAACTATTTATATAAATGAGTTCATGGGAGTGGTGAAGAATCTGCCTGTCAATGCAGGAGATGCTGGTTTGATCCTTGGGTCAGGAAGATCCCCTGGAGGAGGGCATGACAACCCACTCCAGTATTCTTGCCTAGAGAATCCCATGGACAGAGGAGCCTGGCGGGGTACAGTCCAGGGGTTCACAAATAGTCAGACACAACTGAAGCAACTTAGCACATAGAAATAAAAGCACTTGAATAGCCGATGAGTAAATGACCCAGAATAAAGTTTCAAAACCTAGTTCTTGAATCTTACACCATAAGTTTATTTTTTCCCCTTAAAATTGAGCCATCTTTCTCCACTGAATAATACTTTCTTTTCTTCCCACCAACTCTTTTTCTTCTAAATAAACCCTTAGGGCGGATGTCCTGCTATACATGTCATGGAAAATAGTCAGGATTCGACAATCTCTGAAGTTTCTTCCAACATTAATATTTTGTGTTTCCAGGGTTGCTTTGCATCCCATCTGAGTGGTGACAGGATGGCTAGAGATACACTTGTAACGTCAAAACTGTTTTGTATTAAGTTCGCAAAGTTACTGTGATCCAAGCTTGATTGTAACTCCATGAACAGAGGCAGACAGAAAGTGAGAAAAAAGAAAAAATTGGCTCCATCTATTTCTAGAAACCCCCAGCCTATAAATTCTCCATAGGAGGATATCAAACTCTGGAGTATTACATCATCAGAAAAAGCGGTTGCGGGCTACAAGGATCGCAGGAAGTAGGGCAGCCGATGGAAGCAGCTGTCGTTAGAAATCAATCATTTCAAGAGTTCCATGAATAGTGTGGAGTACCATCCAATAATCACTTCTGACTGCATCAACATCTTAAGATTTTCCAAACGATTAAGATTTTAAGATTGCAGTACTTGTTTATTCTTAAAATAAGAAGGGGCAGGTCAGGAAAAAATTAAGTCTTGGGGTCTCAACAGCTCACCATTTTTTGTTCATCCCTTCCCTAATGCAGCTTGCTTTATTTTTTGCTACAGTGTTTGCATTTAAACGGAATCATCATTGTCCAGGAACAAATGTGGTCTTTTAATATTATTTGGGAGAACAGCAGGACTTCAGCAAGTTGGTTGCAGTACAATGGCTCACTCAGGCTACTGCAGTCTGGCTGCAGACATGTTAATTAATATATTTCGCTGACACCTAGTTGATTGAAATAGCAATTAAAGAGTAATTAAAATGTTTACTTCTTGTAGGAATGTCAACTAAGATGTGGAATATAGCAATTACCTATGACGGATTAGAGGAAGATGATGAGGTCTTTGAAGTAATTCTGAACTCCCCTGTGAATGCGGTTCTTGGCACGAAGACAAAAACTGCAGTGAAAATTTTGGACTCAAAAGGAGGTATTCTTTTGATCCTCATCTTGAAATCACGAGCAGTCTTGGCACTGTAGCTGCTCGCTTTCAACAGCCAGTGTGCTGGATAACGCTTTCAAATCAAAATGCTTAATTTCTTGTCAAGAAAGCAACCTCAGTCATGATGTAGGCCCTTTATTCTGGTTTCTGCTTCATGTGGCTTTCCTCCTGCTAAGAAGGATCGTTTGAGAAAAGCAACAAGTCAGTGCCTCATTGTTTTTTTCCCCTACCCGTTTGTTGTTCTCACCAAGGGGGAAACAATGTTGGTGAGAATCTATCGACAATTATTTCCCCGCCCCGAGTTTGTGGGGCTGTAATTATCTTCCTCTGTGGAAGAGAGCTCTTAATGCCTAAAATCGGAGCCCTCACTGTAGTGTAACCACGAAAATTCTGAGGGAGGAAAATACATGTGAAAGGTGCAGCTGGCCTGGGGATTCAGGAGCAGCTGGAGAATATTAATGAATAACCTTGGGTTGCAGAGCCAAACAGGTCCTGGATGGTATAGGCTAAAGAACAACCTGGGAACTAAATAAAGATCAGCCAAAGTCCTTGGTACGCTGATTATTTTCCTGCCAAATACCCTCTACTTATTCATCTTTTTAGCATTTGACAAGTGTCCAGTTACAATGCTTAGTCTTACACTCCAATTTTTACACCAGTCATGCCCTATGGGCCATATATTTTTCTTCGCTTAATTATCTCCACTTCTCTTTCTCATTCTATAATAAATATAGACACTTACCTCTTTCCTTTACCATACTCATATTTCCATATCTCTTTGTACCACCTTGCCTCACCAAATTCTTTTTTTTTCAGTAGACTTTTCTGGTCACATTAAGTACATGAATAGATGAAGTACACATTTGACACATGAAGTATAACGTATCCAAATGTGCCTTCTGGGTTTAGACTTTTTTCATACTAATTGGCAATATTTCTAATCAAAGGAGAGCCATTAAGATTGACTGAATCTTTGTTCTAACAGTTGAATGCTCATCTGAATAGCTGTTGTCTGATTTCACTAACATCTTCCAACAATTTCAGTTTCTACCTGTGGAGACTGGGGAGAGGGTGAACAAGTAAAAGTGTTTGTGGAATGATACTTGATCAGGGAATAAACCCAATAATATGGAGGTATTCTGTTGATATGAAATGAAGGCAGTCTATTTCCCAAGTAGATGGGATGATTATAAAATCACCACAATGATTTTCATCTGTGGTTTGTGAAGTCAATATCATGACTCATAATCACCCTGTAGATGTGCAGAAGAGCATAGCTTTCCTGTATGGAAACTGATGAAGAGTAAAGGGGTTTCTGGCAAATGGCAGCAAGACAACATCTGGTGGGAAAATCATCTATCTGAATTTAATGACAAGCTGCATCGATGTGATCACTTATCTGTTTGTGTAAAATGAACTGACCTGCCATTTTGTGTGCTACCAGGGCAGTGCCATCCTTCATATGCCTTCAATCCAAACATGCCCCGTGCATGGGAGAAGGGCATTTGGCACCTGCTCTCCCCAGGGGCTTCCTCACCCACCACTTCTGGTTCCTTTCATCTGGAAAGAAGACCCCTTCCAGCTTCCAAGCAGCTAGCAGTCACCAGGGGTGACGCCCTGCGGGACTTTGGTTCTGAAGATCTTTCTTCAGTGAAGCTTAGGACCGGAGGGGATGGCAAAACAGTAAGGATGGGGACCTCCTGGGTTTTGATGTGTGGAGTGCATATGAAAAGAATCAAAGGATCTTAATAAGTAATCTGAAATGTTGAGGAGGCTTTTTTGGTTCTCACAGTGAATGGGGGCCATAGAGATTCTCATGGTTCCTTGTCCCATTGTGAAGTGGCTTTTACATACAAACATCAGCATAGTTCATTAATTGTACTGACTGAAGTGATAGATAACCTGACTCATCCATATAATTTCTGCTTTGGTTCCTTTTGTGATCAAGACAGATAGGGAATGACTCGTGGTCCTGAAAAAGAATGAGATTATTTGGGTGTGGAAATCATGGCTTTGAACTTACTAGCATAGCATTCTCACTAGGCATACACTTGTGAGTGTGTGTGTGTGTGTGTTTCTTGGACCTCTGTGCACTATAGATGTACCAAAAAAATAAGGATGTCTTTTCTAACTGGAACTAAGAATAGATGAGTCAACACTGATAAGTTGTGGTTGGTCCAGTGACTTTTAAAAATCCTTTTATTTGGGCCTGGAAAGTCTTTTAAAAATATGTTTAGAAATTTTTAGTTACTAAAAAATCTTATTGGAAGGGTTTTGCCCTATTATTAATTATTATTCAAGCCAATTTTGTTCCTATTTATTTCCTGTCTTGATTTCAGGTGCCTCCATCCTCTGTTTATAGAAATAGAACAGACAGCATCTATAACGTAAGCATATGTGTGTAAGCAATGTGTGTTCTCAGTCACTCAGTCATGTCCAATTCTTTGCAACCCCCAGGCCTGCCAGTCTGAGAGAATTGCTAAGTTTTTTTGTATTTATGGTGCAAAATATCTAGTTAAACTACCTTTCATAACTTTTATATTTATATATTTTCCTTAAAATCCTGTTTAAATTTTGTTTAAAGGCTTGGGTGGTCAGGAAAAAATCCTTTTACCTCTTTATTTTGATCCAGTTTTTGGATTGCCTGTTTTCACAACAAATGTTTTTGTTTGATGTCTTGTTTTGTTTTGTCTTCATTGTTGTTTGCTGATTTCCTCAAGTATCATGGGATGATTTCCCTGAAACTGGAGGATGACAGCTCCCCAGCTCACAGACGGAAGGCCAGCGTATCCATTATTAGTGAGCCCCAAAAGGCAACCAAAGTGACAGAACCGCCTCGAGCCGATAAGGAGGAATCCACAACCGGCTCACACTTCCCCAGACAGGTATGAAAATCTCTTCACTTCCTACTCACCTTACAACAAGCTGTTTCCTGAGCCGAAAAACAGCCTTCAAGTTGGGGACTAGTTTACTCAATTCAAACACTATTCGGCAAATGATGACCTAAAAGAGGTAACAGTGTGTCAAATCTAAATTACAAATCTAAATTTTACAGGGTGTCAAATCTAAATTACCTTTCCTTCCCATAGGACCCACTGCCCTCATTCCCAAAGAACTGCACACTGGAATTAAAGGGACTCTTCCACTTTGAAGAAAGCCTCCAAAAACTGTACAAGTGCGATGGAATTGCCTGGAGATCCTGGAGCCCCCACACCAAGGTGGGACAGGCCAAGCAGTCAAGTCCCATCGTAACCCAACAGAGGGAGAGGAGGTGCCCTGTCCACTACTGTTTCCTCTGCCTGCCCTGTTATGCTTTGAAGGTGAAGAGGAAAATATGGCCAGTGGATGTTTTAAAAATCACAAAACACAGTAGTTAAGCACTACAATTTAAAAAGAGGCTTACTTATTTTATTCAATTATTTAATGTTAAAGGTGTAAAATTAAAACATGGCTGACTTTACCAATGTGTCCCACAAGAAGCCATTGCCGTTCTCAAAGTGGAGAATTGGGATCGGGGCTGACCTCTTGCTAGTGACAAAATTATTTTCATTAGAGGACTCACAGGATTCTCTATGTTGAGAATAGACTCTAGATTGTAAAGACCATTATGATGTGAACATGGACAACTATTTTTCAGGCAGTGGAAGATAAATCCTGCCCAGCTGGGTGGCACCGTCATTCAGGCTATTGCCACTCCTTGATCACAGAGCAGAAAGGCACATGGACTACAGCTGCCCAAGCTTGCAGGGAACAGTAAGAAACCCCATTTCTCATTTGGTTGATGTTTCTTTGTTAATGTTTCTGTTTTCTCATGGAACTCTAGTGTTTCTTCATTCATTCAAGTGTCGAGTGTCTAACATCTACCTGGCTTTGCTTTAGGAGCTTGGAGGGAGTTCTGTAGTTCCGAACAGATTTGGGCTGACCTTACTGATGTATCATAGCTCTTTTATGATAAACTGTGCCGATGTCAGTTTTATTTTTTAGCCTCTCCATCTCAAACTTTTGAAGAAAGTCAGGAGATTCTTGGAGTCAGCAGCATGACAGAGTCTATCATTTATTGATTAAATAGGAATCCCAGCCCACTGATTTGGAAATATATAGCAATGGAAGATCTCATAGCACCAGGCCTATAACAATATAAGAGGCATTGATGGTTATGAAACCAGACAGGTTGGACAAAATGTAATTAGATAACAGAACACTCAATGAAAGATGACTTGTTGTCAAATATTGACAAAATTTATCCATTTACTCTACAACATAGTCAGTCTCTGTGATTTTAGCCATTCTAGTGGGTGTAGGTGATGTTTTATTATGGTTTTAATAGATTCTAATGCTACTCCAAAATTGCTGATTTATCCCTCACCCTTTGCTGCTTTGATAACCATGAGTTTTCTGTGTCTGTGACTCTATTTCTGTTTTATAAATAAGTTCATTTGTTTTATTTTTTAGATTCATCAGCTGATGTGCATTTAGGTTGCTTCCATGTCTTTGTTTTTGTAAATAGTGCTGCTATGAACATTGGGGCGTATGAAAATCTTTTCAAATTAGAATTTTCTTCTTTTCCAGATATGCCTAGGAGTAGAATTGCTGGGTCACATGGTAACTATAATTTAAAATTTTTAACGAACCTCTGTACTGTTCTCCATAGTGGCTGCACCGATTTACATTCCCACTAACAGTATAAGGGGGTTCCTTTTTCTCCCCACCCTCTCCAGCATTTATTAAGTATAAGTGTTTTGATGTTGGTCCTTCTAACCCATGTGAGGTGATACCTCATTGAGTCACATTTCACATAGCAACATTGAGTACCTTTCCATGTGCTTGTTGGCTATTTGTGTGTCTTCTTTGGAGGAATGTCTATTTAGGTCTTCTGCTCATTTTTGATTGGGTTGTTTGTTTTTGATATTGAGCAATATAAGTTGTTTATGTATTTTGGAAATTAATCCACTGTCAGTAACATTGTTTGCAAATATTTTCTCCCGTTCTGTAGGTTGTCTTTTCATTTTGTTTATGGTTTCCTTTGCTGTGCAAAGACTTTTAAATTTAACTAGGTCCCATTTGTTTATTTTTGCTTTTGTTTCTGTTACTCTAGGAGACAGATTAAAAAATATATATATTGCTGAGATTTATTTCAAAGAGTGTTCTGCTTATGTTTTCCTCCAGGAGTTTAATAGTATCTCTTCTTAAATTTAGATCTTTAATCCATTTTGAGTTTATTTTTGTATATGATATTAGAGAATGTTCTATTTTCATTCTTTAACATGTAGCTTTCTGTTTTCCCAGCACCACTTATTGAAGAGACTATCTTTTCTCCATTGTATATTCTTGTCTCATTTGTCATAGATTAATTGACCATAAGTGTGTGGCTTTATTTCTGGGTATTTCCTGTTGCATCTGTCTATGTATCTGTCTTTGTGCCAGTACCATACTCTTGATTTCTGTAGCTATATATTATAGTCTGAAGTTAGGGTGTATCATTCCTCAAACTCAATTCTTCTTTGTTTTGGCTATTTGGAGTCTTTTGTGTCTCCATACATATTTAATTTTTTTGGTTTCCAGTTCTGTGAAAGATGCCACTGGTAATTTGATAGCGGTTGCTTTAAATCTGTAGATTGCCTTGGGTAGTATGGTCATTTTAATAATATTGATTCTTCCAACCTAAGAACACAGTATATCTTTCTACCTGTTTGTCATCTTCAGTTTCTTTCATCAACACCTTATAGTTTTCTAAGTATCGGTCTTTTGCTTTATTAAGTATCCCTAGGTATTTTATTCTTTCTGATGCAATAGTAAATGAGATTATTGCCTCAAATTCTCTTTCTGATATTTTGTTGTTAGTGTACAGAACTATAACAGATTTGGGCAATTAGGTGGATCAATAAAATAAAAAATATATTAGGATACTAATGCAGGGTTAGCAAAATGATGACATCAATAAGATTACCTTAAATTGCCATGGTTTCATAACAAATGTTTTTTGACACCAAAAATCTGGAAGGTCATAATCTCAGAATAATGATATTAAGAAATACATACGTAGGTATTTTGTTCTGCAGTAAACTATTATAAAATCTAATATAAGAGTGATGGAAATTTTCTGTTTCCCCTATTAATTTAAAGGGATTGATGACCATATACAGCAAATCAAACATTATGTAATAAGCAATTTCAGAATTAATTTTTTCATATCTTTGTGAAATTAATTTTGTAAACTGGTTTCAGGGAATTGTTTTAAACTATTGTACTGAGACCTTTTTTTAGATGTAAAACTGAAAAAATTTTCAGAACAAGAGAAAGTTTTTAGGGGGCAACTGGAGATTTTCCATCATATTTTAGAAAGTGACTCATTATGTATCTATCAATAATATAAAGTATTTTGAAGTGTATGTTATGTATGTACCATATTGCTCCAGAAATTAAGGTGTCTATCAAATACTATTTCTGATGGTATTCCAAGGTGTATAAGAGGTTAAGAAAAAATATTTGCTATGAGATTTTAAAAATATCATAAAAATACTTCAAATTTTCTAATTTTAAGTGAAGAATGGGTATGAATATTTGACCTGCTGACTTTTGTATGAATCTTCAATATGCATTTTATTTCAAAAGGACACGAAGAATGATTATCCCAAGAACATATAAAAATAGTTAGAGGCATTTCAGAAAATATCTAGCAGCAGATTAAAAACAAACTAAAAGATTTGGATCAGTCACTTTAAAAGGAACATTTTTGAATGGCAAGGCCTCCTCCTCAGTATAATTTTCCTCTGAGCCCCAAGACCTCCTCTGTCATTCAACATGTTTTCATTCATTCTATGGGCCACTGCTTCCCCTCACCCATTACTTTTCAGGTTCATTTAGACCTCTTCTTCTCTAACCTCTTTGCCTTGAACAATGAATATTCCCCTGGGAATTATCAATTCTTTCTATGATGTAAAATTAATAGTTGCAACATTTTATAACTTGGCTATTTACTTTCTCATGAATACATTTTAGGAGATGGTTTTAGAGTCTATAATTAGAATTAATACACATCTAGTGTGTTTTTTAGATCTCAGGGACCATTTTTCAATTCTGATTTATATTTCCTCAGGCTCCCTTGCTACCTGATGGTCTTTTACAGATGGTCATTTACAGCATGTATGTTTTAAGAAACACAGCAAATTTTACTTTATCTGTTGCCCCTAATCAGATTGCTAACTCAACTCAATCTTTATCTCTTTTCTCCTTTCCTCCCTATTGGTGTTTTATTATTTTTCTAGCCCAGAGGAAACAGACTCTGAGATTAGGTATTTCTTGAATTTACATATCATAATCTCATCTGCTCATTTCCTTAGGCAGTCACTGTATATTTGGCAATTCTATTATTATAAATCATTATCTCTGAAACCATTTTGGTTTCCCACAGGAGTGTCTGGAACCCCTGCTGACCTATCCTTAAAGAGTTAGTCTAAAATATATCTATATTTAATCAAAAAGTTCTAACGAAGTAGATGTTTATTTCTATAACTGGAAAAATTCAGATTTATGTTTTTAATTCTACACTTTAAATGCCTTCAAATTTCAGAGATGTCAAAAGATATATATTTGTATGTTTCTCTATATTTTATTTTTATATCTCTATAGTATATATGTATCTATATGGTTAATATTCTCTTTTTTATTTGTATATGGGAATAAAAGTAAATGATTGGCATTTTTATAAAATGAAAATGCCTAAATATTTTGTAAATAACTGTGGCCTAACATTTTACCTATTCTAAACGCAGCTATTTTATCTTCTTGCTCTTGCTCTTCTCAGAGCATCAATAAAGAAATCAAACTTGTACTTGAGCAGCTAAAATGGATTTTGCAAAGTCTTATTTTAAAGTTAGTTTCAAGGATCTTAAAGCAGAAGGAGGTGTTAAATATCCTTGAATAAAATCTATTCCTTCCTGATAAAGACTCTGAGGATAGAGGCATTTCAGAAAATATCTAGCAGCAGATTAAAAACAAACTAAAAGATTTGGATCAGTCACTTTAAAAGGAACATTTTTGAATGGCAAGGCCTCCTCCTCAGTATAATTTTCCTCTGAGCCCCAAGACCTCCTCTGTCATTCAACATGTTTTCATTCATTCTATGGGCCACTGCTTCCCCTCACCCATTACTTTTCAGGTTCATTTAGACCTCTTCTTCTCTAACCTCTTTGCCTTGAACAATGAATATTCCCCTGGGAATTATCAATTCTTTCTATGATGTAAAATTAATAGTTGCAACATTTTATAACTTGGCTATTTACTTTCTCATGAATACATTTTAGGAGATGGTTTTAGAGTCTATAATTAGAATTAATACACATCTAGTGTGTTTTTTAGATCTCAGGGACCATTTTTCAATTCTGATTTATATTTCCTCAGGCTCCCTTGCTACCTGATGGTCTTTTACAGATGGTCATTTACAGCATGTATGTTTTAAGAAACACAGCAAATTTTACTTTATCTGTTGCCCCTAATCAGATTGCTAACTCAACTCAATCTTTATCTCTTTTCTCCTTTCCTCCCTATTGGTGTTTTATTATTTTTCTAGCCCAGAGGAAACAGACTCTGAGATTAGGTATTTCTTGAATTTACATATCATAATCTCATCTGCTCATTTCCTTAGGCAGTCACTGTATATTTGGCAATTCTATTATTATAAATCATTATCTCTGAAACCATTTTGGTTTCCCACAGGAGTGTCTGGAACCCCTGCTGACCTATCCTTAAAGAGTTAGTCTAAAATATATCTATATTTAATCAAAAAGTTCTAACGAAGTAGATGTTTATTTCTATAACTGGAAAAATTCAGATTTATGTTTTTAATTCTACACTTTAAATGCCTTCAAATTTCAGAGATGTCAAAAGATATATATTTGTATGTTTCTCTATATTTTATTTTTATATCTCTATAGTATATATGTATCTATATGGTTAATATTCTCTTTTTTATTTGTATATGGGAATAAAAGTAAATGATTGGCATTTTTATAAAATGAAAATGCCTAAATATTTTGTAAATAACTGTGGCCTAACATTTTACCTATTCTAAACGCAGCTATTTTATCTTCTTGCTCTTGCTCTTCTCAGAGCATCAATAAAGAAATCAAACTTGTACTTGAGCAGCTAAAATGGATTTTGCAAAGTCTTATTTTAAAGTTAGTTTCAAGGATCTTAAAGCAGAAGGAGGTGTTAAATATCCTTGAATAAAATCTATTCCTTCCTGATAAAGACTGAGGCTGAAGTTACATCCATAAGGAAATTGGGGACCGAGCAGGAAGTGGAACCCAGGTCTCCCACACTCTAATATGTCACATTAATTGAAACAGCCCCTCAAACCCTCCCTTGGGCTATTTTTAATACACATTTCATATTCTGTGTTTTAAACCCTCAGCACATCAGAATTGCCATATTGGATCTGAGGGAGAGGGAAGAGAATTGGCTATCAAGTCTGTTATAACTGTCAGACAGAAGCTGACAGTAAATAGAAATGTCAGAACCAAGTCACATGACCTGAATCTGGCACCGTAAGGACATACAGAGAAGTAGAAAAGTACCTACATATCTCAGAAGGCCTAGGAGTCATCACTGCATTATATCACACTAAAGTACTATATTAATAGGAAAAATATCATTAAGAGATAGATTAGATTATGTTCACCATACATGATCTGGAAAAGCAGAGAAGTGAATCTAAAGCTTGGATAGTTGTAGGTAAAATGAAAAAAAAAATTCAGTTCAGCAACATAAACTTGTGATAAGTATGTATTACTAATTATGTTTCTTGATTTTTAAAACATCAATAGATATTAACTAGGCAAGAAGATCGTGGTGATTTTTTCCCCTTTTTTGTTGTTGAAACTTTCTGTATCAGAAAAAGAAGAAAAGAAAAAAAAATTATCTATTGTCTTTTTACTTAGAGCATTTTTAAAGAGTTTTAAATGAACACTATTGGGGAATTGGGATCAAACATTACTTACAGGAATAACTTAGCTAGCTGCAAAAATAATTCATAAAGAATTCCCTGTTAGTGTCTGTCACAAAAAAGACAAGATATAACAAATGCTGGCAAGGATGTGGAGAGAAGGAAACCCTTATGCACTGTTGGTAGAATTGTAAAATGGTACAGCCACCATGGAAGAGTATTGAGGCCCCTCAAAAGTTAAAAATAGAATTACGATATGATCCGGCAATTCCACTTCTGGGAATATGTCTAAAGGAAATGAAAGTGCTAGGTTGAAAAGGTGAAAAGGTATCTGCACCCCCATGTTTATAACAGCATTTTTTTTTTTTTACAAAGTGAAGACATGGAAACAATGTAAGTGTCCATCAACAGATGAATCAAATTTGTGGTTATAAGAAGTGAGGAATTTGGGATGGGAGAGTTGGATGAAGGTAATCAAAAGATACAAACTGCCAGTTATAAGATAAAGAATGTGGCTGTGATGTGCAACATGATTATTGTATGGTAGATGTGAAAGGTGTTAAGAGTAAATTCTAAGAATTCTCACCATAAGGAAAAAACATTTTTTCTTTTTTTTGGTTACTATATGTAATGGGTACTAACTAAATTTACTGTGGTAATCAAATTTCACAGTTTATGTAAGTCAAGGCACTACGCTGTGAACTTTAAACATACAAAAAATACAATTATATTTTGGAGAAGATGTTTATATGTATCTGTAAGAACAAGTGTTTTAATTTCGTCATAACATACAAAGGTTTGACCATGAGGCTGAGCTTCTTTCCCTGAGGAGGATGAAAAAGAGTCACATATATTTGGGCATTTGACTAAACACATCAAGCTCAAAATGTTGGCTTCCAGTAATTTTATTGATAGTTTGGGTTACCTTACTAATCAAATTAACCAGGTAATTGCCAAATTTATGCAATTTAGAGATAAACTTCCCATAAGAGAGGTCATTTTTTGACACTAAGTAATTAATCTGTATAAGGAAACAGCTGCTGATTTTCTGAAAAGAATTTGTGCTTTAAAGCCCAGATATTATAACACAGTATCACTTCTTTGCTGTTACCTACCCCACCCTGTGACTTAGCATGGATGCAAGCACCCCCTCCCCCATAGATACTCATTAATATTAAAAAAATGGAGTATTAAAATCTTGGAAAGCTCTTTCTACATATATACCAGTTTTCTAGTTTGAACAAGCTTTGATTTCCATTTTGCATCTCACGTCAGCAGAAATGCTGAACTCCCCGTCACTGATGCTCTGATTTTTCTGTTTGCACACAGTCACCAGGGCAGCCTTGTGACTGTCATCTCCAGGCAGCACATGCGATGGCTTTGGGACATCAGCGGAAGAAAGCCCTTTTGGATAGGCAAGTATTGGTGTTACCCTGAGGAGGAGGGTGAGACCATAAAGAGAATGTCTCCCTTCCCTGGGTCAAATACTTGTGGTCTACAATAATAAGCAATGGTTAGATGGTTGGACAGTCTTATCTTTTAAAACTCATTTTAATTACACAATACTTTCATTTATAGGCATCTATCTCAAAGAAGTAATGTGGTTCAATTTAAAAGCAAGATTAACTTTTTAAATATTATTTCTAAAGGCAAAAAATTTAAGATAGTTGTAAATAGGGAATGGTTTAATAAATTATAATATAGTCATATGAAAGAATATTAAAGATATGACAATGCCTTATGTTTATCGATTCATTCAATAATGGATGCATATTATATATAAAATATGTAGTGTACTGAATTGATGGCAAGGTGCTAAGTGAAAAACACAGTCTACAGCCATATGAAGCATGAAAATATTTAGAATAAAAAAGCACATATACAAGTGATATATATACATGTAATATATACCTATATGTATTGACATAAAAAGAAATAAGCCAAAGAGAAATATTTTTTATCTCTAGTTAAAATAATAGCTAATCCTAATTGTGTCCTTTTTTTCTAAAGTTTTAATATTTTCTACAATTTTAACAGTAATCACAAATCTTTTCAAGCCACTTTAGAAACAGAGTTCTCAGGATATACTAAAGTAAATATTCTCACCATCTCTTCAAGATACTGTATTTAAGGAAATAATAATAAACCCACTTGGCTTCTTAAAAATCTCTGTGATAACTCAGTGAGTGTGTAATTCTGAAGCCATCTGAGAGTATTAAGTGAAGCCTGGAAGATAAATTTTCCCTGTGTCCACAATGACTAATGTCAAGTTTCTAATTCCACAAAGTTTTGGGGCGTAGCATCACCTGATCAATAGTTCACAGAAACAATCCAGAAGGACACAAGTCATTCCCAACCAAGAGGACTTCATTTTATTCTACCCCAAAATATCAAATGAGAACCAGTGGGGAGAAGGTTACATGCTGCATAACAAAGACCACTTTCACAGTCAAATTTGGTTTGTGAGCTGCCAGGTAATCCTATTGCACAGGATTCTTTTTTTTATTCTATTATTTTTATCTCTATTCTAAAAGAGAGGGAGGAGAGGAAATTCTTTAAAAATTTTTTTTAGTATTTTTAAATTGGAGTGTAATTGTTTCACAATTTTGTGTAAGTTTCTGTTGTACAACAGCATGAATCAGCTCTATGTATACATCCCCTCCCTCTTGAGCACCCCCCCTCCATTTCACCCATCTAGATCATCACAAGAGCGTTGGTCTGAGCCCCTAGTATTATAGCAGCTCTCTACTAGCTCGCTATTTTATACATGGTAGTATATATATGGGGGCTTCCCTAATAGCTCAGTGGTAAAGAATTTACCTGTAATGCAGGAGACGTGGGTTCGATCCCTGGGTTGGGACGATCCCCTGGAGGAGGGCATGGCAACCCACTCCAGTACTCTTGCCTGGAGAATTCCATGGCCAGAGGAGACTGGCAGGCTACAGTCCCATAGAGTTGCAAAGAGTTGGACACGACCGAGCAATTAAGCACAGCACAGAACACAACACAGTGTATATACATCAAATGCTGCTCTCTCAACCCATCCCAGGAATGCTTCCTTAAGAAAAAATTTAAGAGCTTTGTAACACTGAGATGTAGCTAAAAAAAAAAAATGCCAGTGGGAGTAGAGAGGCAAATTGAGAAAAGCTGCTTTTTATTAAAACTGTAGCAGATTAAAAAAATCTTAAGCTCCAGACTAAAAATAATACTTAATAAGCTACTTTCAAATATGATACCCAAGAATCACAAGGAAGATAAATAGACAGGAATGTATCTGTTTCCCTGTGATGGGTACTCTGCCTGTAGGAAGTATGAATAATAAGTGCCGTTTATTAACACTTCTATGTCATGAGCTTTATGTGCCTTACCTTATTTAATCTTCAACATAGAGCTAGTTCTTCTTAGATGCACATTTCTGAGATAATACTTGGAGAAAGAGAGAGGTTAAATAACTTGCCCAGGTATGTTCACCTAGCAAGCGGTGAAGCTAGGATTTGGATTCCTACCTGGCCTTACACCAAAGCCTCATAGACTCAGGGTATCTTATAGGATTCCCAGGTTCTAGTGCATGCTTTAGAATGTAGGCTCACAATTGCATGTGATTACTGAGCTTAGAACAGTGGGTTGATATGACATCCAGTTGTAAATGTAGTAACGATCATTTGGCGCCCTTCTTTGGTTCATGTTAGGTTTGAACGACCAAGTGCGTGCTGGCCACTGGGAGTGGATTGGCGGTGAACCTGTGACCTTCACCAACTGGAGGAGAGGGCCCCCGCAACGTTCAAAGCGTGGCAAAGACTGTGTTTTGGTTCAAAGGCCAGGAAAATGGCACATAAAGGAGTGTAGGAAGGGAAAATCTCACAATTATGTGTGCTCCAGAAAACTCTAACCGGCCCTACAAGTGTCCACTTGGGATGTTTTTATCTATTTGTTTCCAGGATTTGTGCATATTCCTCAAAAGAAAGCAGAGGGTTGTGACTAATGTGGTACATTTCTTCTATCAAAGTGTTTGAAGGATTCTATCTAGTAAAGAAAAACAATGGTTCCAGGAAGATTGATAAATGAATGTTTCTTAGAGGAAAAGATAAATTTTTTGCAACTCAGTACATTTTGAAATAAATCCTCAAGGTATTATGTGGTACAAAATCTGATTATTCTGGAGACTTTATACTTCAGTCAACAGTAATTTCATGGTCCTCAGATTTTTCCCCCCAATTTAAATGAGTACATTCTGAAATCTATATTGCGGGTGCTTCCACCACTTCCATCTAAATGAGGCTTACCCTGCCAGTTCATTAAATCAAGGTTGAACTGCAAAGGGTTGCTTTGTCCCTTTGGAGTCCTTTCAAATGTGAAAGCTGAGAGGCGGTGGGTAAAAAGAATTCTCTGTGGTGAAAAAGGAAGGCTTTAGATGGAAGAATCTGGCAGATGGAAGGTCATCTGCAAAGCTGTAGTTCAGGTAAGAATTCAGGGGTTACCTGTCCTTCCGAAGTCTACCTGTCACTTCCCACAACAGAGTTCCTTTTCCAGGAAGACGGCTGTGCCATTCTAAAGCGAATAATTGGGTTTCCCTGGCTTTACAGAGTCAGGAGACATTTGAAGAAACAATGAGCCTCTCTGTCCATTCGTGCTTGTAGCACTGAGTAGCGTTTCTCAAGGACACTTGGAATAAAAAGCATATATGGATGATGGTTAACATATGGAAGAAAAATGTGGCTTCCTCAAAAGTGTCCCAATGAACTATGCAGATGAACAAAGAAAAGTAGTACTGAAAACAGAGTCCTTGAAAGCCTATATTCTCAGAAAGGATTTTGATATAATTGTGAGCCCTTAAATATTTAATATGTGTAGAATTGCCATGTTAACCTGATCCTCTAATGAAAAGGTACCTTATTAATTTATAATGGCAGCTGAGTGAAACATTTTTGTAGCAGTGAAGCATGTTGCAGCCTTACAAGAACTCCCTTCTGAAATCAAAGCTTAATTACAGGAAATTAGAAATTTATTTCTGAAACATTTACTCACAATTTTCCTCTTTTCATAATCCCTGAAAAATATGGTTGTGCCCCATGTAACTTGCTATTATGAGTACCAGAGTCACTTCAGAATCAAAACAGAGTTACCAAGTAGATCAAAGTTTTGGTGCAGGTTTTATTATGATAAGACCTTGCGAGAAACTAAAAGTGACTGAAGAAATTCAGTCTCATTTTTTGGATATAAGAAACAACAAGCTTGTTTTATTCGCACTTGTTTATCAAGATTTTGGTTAATAGAAATATTTACAAAGACAGATTGGAATGAGATTTAGACATTCTACCTCTTTTTAAATTCCAACATCAGTGTGGAGTCAGGAGGCTCCTTACCTTAGATATCACAAGCAGAATCTGAATTGCTCTGATATAGAGGTCTTCCATGTGACACAGTCAGCTTCTGGTGTTGAATCAGAAGGTGTAAACCCATTCTCTGTATCAGTTGATGTCCCTTCTGATCCATGGGCCTCTGCAATGTTGAAAGATGGGATGCTGAATAAAGAAATGAGGAGTTGTTTACTTGAAGGATTGTATCCTAGGATGGAAAGTAAATGGTCAAGGAATGAGGAATTCCTAGATCTACATTGACTGGAAATCCAGAACCATGGCAACTGTGTAAACCTAGTCAGAGTGGTAGGTTTTATTATACATTTCTGCCATGTCAGTGATATTAAAATGTTAGCACAAAGAGAGAATGCTTTGCTTTTTATAGCAACTGAAAGAAATACTAGAAGAATGTTTAAAATATTCCTGGTCATGAAAACATTAATCAAGTGGTAAAATCCAACTAATTGGAAGAAGGTACAAATAAAAATTCAAGCAAGTGTGGATGCTAAGCAATATGTGCATGCATGACCTTCATCTCCTTCTCATGACTGGTCTTTGACTGATGGGGGAGTAGTAGTAAATGATCGTCATGTTTCTCTCCACCTTGATTGATTATTGTCATCCTTTAGGTTATGGCAGGAGTGGGAAGGAAGGAAATGGAGTAATGGTATTGATAGAATGGGAAAGGGAGATTATAGATAAGGGGAGAGTGGAGAGAAGGATTGAATAGGAAGAGATGGGAGTTGATTAGTAGCTAAGAAAGAGAGCATCAGAAAGAAGGACTTGAATGCCACCCAGCTCTTCTCTCCAGACTTAAATACTGACTCAGGAAAAGTCCCATATAATCCAAGGGCATTAACCCAGCTCAATAATGTGTAGCTTTCAGAATCTTGTGACTGTTGGTGTTTAACAAGACATACATATGTGTAGTATATATCTGGTAAATATAAACTCAAAAAACACATGACAATTATTCCATCTTCTTCCAAGGGGTGGTAAAAATGAACCAGGTGACATTTATTTACTTTTTTTTTGTTTGTTGTATTTTTAAGACAGCCAAAAAGAATATGCACATATTTAATACTAGCATTCTGTATCATCTAAACCATATACTAGTACTGATTAATTTCTGTGACAAAGCAGCATATTAATTGTACTGTACCTAGTGTTATACAAAAATTAATAAAATAAGCTATTTCTAGTTCTGAATTACTATTCCTTTAGTGTTTAACATTTTATATTTATTTTACCCATTTAAGAAGACATGGAGGGAAAAATTGAACATGTATTTTTCATCCTTACTATTTAGATCAGCCTTTCATTTTACAGCTTCCATCCATTTATCCATCTATCCAGTCATCCATCCACCATCCATTCAACAAATATTGACTGTGAAGTGCCTGATACTGTTGTAGATACTGGATATATGTGGTGGATGAGATAGGAAGTTAAAGTATAAAAGCATGGTACATATATGTAAATTTCTAATAGTTGTTTTTAAGCATGGAGCTTTTTTTTTTTAATATATATATCAGGGAGAAAGTCACAGTAGAAGTGATTGATTACATTATCCCTTTTCAGAATCGAAGGGAAAGCCACACTGATACAAAGAGCTCAGACTGTCTTTTGTTTTATTTCTCAACTGATTAAGAAATTGGTGTGAACTTCCTGAATTTATAATCAGGTCAAGGTGTTATTGATAACAGCTGTTTCAAATTTCCTGTCTCCAGATCAGGTTAGGAATGAAAGATTTCAAATCTGGCTAATTAATTTTGTAACAATTATTTTTTCCAAAGAGACAAGCAGTGTGATTGATAGAATGGGAAAGGGAGATTACAGATAAGGGGAGAGTGGAGAGAAGGATTGAATAGGAAGAGATGGGAGTTGATTAGTAGCTAAGAAAGAGAGCATCAGAAAGAAGGACTTGAATGCCACCCAGCTCTTCTCTCCAGACTTAAATACTGACTCAGGAAAAGTCCCATATAATCCAAGGGCATTAACCCAGCTCAATAATGTGTAGCTTTCAGAATCTTGTGACTGTTGGTGTTTAACAAGACATACATATGTGTAGTATATATCTGGTAAATATAAACTCAAAAAACACATGACAATTATTCCATCTTCTTCCAAGGGGTGGTAAAAATGAACCAGGTGACATTTATTTACTTTTTTTTTGTTTGTTTTATTTTTAAGACAGCCAAAAAGAATATGCACATATTTAATACTAGCATTCTGTATCATCTAAACCATATACTAGTACTGATTAATTTCTGTGACAAAGCAGCATATTAATTGTACTGTACCTAGTGTTATACAAAAATTAATAAAATAAGCTATTTCTAGTTCTGAATTACTATTCCTTTAGTGTTTAACATTTTATATTTATTTTACCCATTTAAGAAGACATGGAGGGAAAAATTGAACATGTATTTTTCATCCTTACTATTTAGATCAGCCTTTCATTTTACAGCTTCCATCCATTTATCCATCTATCCAGTCATCCATCCACCATCCATTCAACAAATATTGACTGTGAAGTGCCTGATACTGTTGTAGATACTGGATATATGTGGTGGATGAGATAGGAAGTTAAAGTATAAAAGCATGGTACATATATGTAAATTTCTAATAGTTGTTTTTAAGCATGGAGCTTTTTTTTTTTAATATATATATCAGGGAGAAAGTCACAGTAGAAGTGATTGATTACATTATCCCTTTTCAGAATCGAAGGGAAAGCCACACTGATACAAAGAGCTCAGACTGTCTTTTGTTTTATTTCTCAACTGATTAAGAAATTGGTGTGAACTTCCTGAATTTATAATCAGGTCAAGGTGTTATTGATAACAGCTGTTTCAAATTTCCTGTCTCCAGATCAGGTTAGGAATGAAAGATTTCAAATCTGGCTAATTAATTTTGTAACAATTATTTTTTCCAAAGAGACAAGCAGTGTGTGTCTCTGTGTCTTTGAGATCCCTGGAGTAACAGGAATAAGGAAGAGAGATCTTTGATGTCATCTCTAACATCATACGGCAGAAAGGACCGAAGTCCTCAGAAGTTAAAGTGAGAAGAAATCAGCACCAGAGAGCTACAGTCTTCCAAACTGTAGGCTGGGTCTCTTCTAATTATTCCATATGTTTATTACCACTCTGAGCAAATGGTTTATTATATTCCAGTAAAATACCTCACCACTCCAGTGGTGAGTATTATGAAGTTCACCATATACCTAAAAACATTATTCTAAGTAAAAGGAGATGGACACAAAAGGCCACATATTGAGTGATTCCGTTTATATGAAATGTTTAGGCAGAGGATCGGTGGAAGGGGAAATTGGACCTAACTGCTATGGGAACAGGGTTCCTTTCTGAGGGAATGGAGGTGCTCTGGAATTAGATGGTGGCAATGGTTGCACAACACAGTGAATATGCTAAAAACCACTGAAGTGCACACTTTAAAATGGTGAATTGTATATTATAGGAAGTATATCTCAATAAAAAATGCTATTAAAAATCACCACATAAAGATGTATTTTAGAAAACTATAAACGGGTTGATGTATTAGCTGTATGTTTATGCAATTCATCCAAGATACTTTTTCCAGTCTTTGCCCCAGGTCTCTCTCAGGTTTTTGTTTATTTGTTAATACAGTTGGTTAAGGGAAAGAAAATGCTGATTTGACAGAGTTTTAAATTTACAGTGCTGCTTTATTGATCTTCCTCCTCTTTCCCCCCATTAATCATGGGAGAACAGTTATTGATGGCGGCATGTGTCTGGACGCCTGTAATATCCAGAATGCCTTGATTTTCTTAAAATTAATTTTATAAGTCTTTAGAACAGGATCGTGCAGGAAATGAATATACTGTCCTCATAACTTACACATATAACTGTTCATTTTGAGTAGTTTTTATGGGTCTTATATATTCTGCTAGGCAATAAAATTTAGTTTATCTTAAGACAGAAAGGAACAAAAATCAACTGACACTTCCATTAAAGGCCTTATGGTAACCTGCAATACTTTTTCCGAGCAATGAAGTGTATGAGTTCACCTTTTACTTCTATTCCCATCTGTATTTTTGCTTCCCAAAGGCAATCAATCCCAACTTACTCTACAGAAGAAAAATGGAAAAAAGATACATTGTCCTAAAACTAGTCAAAGGAAAGCTGGAGTGGCTATGTTATCAGAGTAAATTTTAGAGCAAAGTATATTATCAAGGGTAAAAACTTAACATTTAAAGGAGTCGATAAATCAAGAAGACATATTTATGCATCTAATAACTAAGTTTAAAAGTACATGAAGCAAAAACTGAGAGAACTGTAAGGAGCAATAGACAAAATCTCTAATTATAGCCAGTAATGTTAATACCCCTCTCTCAAGGATCGATAGAACAAGTAGGCAGGAAATCGGTAGGGTTATAAAACTACGGACACTGTTAACCAAATTAACCTCATAGACATTTATCAAACATTCCACCGCAAAACAACAGAATATACGTTCTTTTCACGTTCTCAGGGAACATGTACCAGGGCAGGACATATTCTGGGACATAAAATGAGTCTCAATAAATCTTAAAAGATTCAAGTCAACAGCAAAATTCTGTAAAGCAATTATCCTTCAATAAAAAATTAATTAATTAAAAAAATTCAAGTCATACAAAGTATGTTCACTGACAACAATGAAATTAAATGAGAAATCAATAACAGAAATATCTCTGGAAAACCCTTAAGTGTTTGGAAACTAAATTATAGACTTCTTTAATGCAGGAAGTAAAGAAGAAATCAAAGAGGAAATTAAAAATATAGTAAACTGAATGAAAATGGAAACACATCAAAGTTTGTAGGATACTATTAAAGCAGTACTTATGGGGAATTTTATAGCACTAAATGCCTATATTAAAAAGGAAGAAAGTATTAGCCTCAGCTTCTACTTCAAGAAGTTAGGAGACATAAGTAAGGAAATGAAAAATATCAGAACAGAAGCCAGGGAAATAGAAAACAAAAATCAGTGGGGGAAAACCAGTGAAACCGAAAGCAGCTTTTTTGAGAATATTGATAAAGTTGGTAAATCTCTAACCAGACTGATGCGGAAAAGATGAGAAGAGGACACAGATGGCTAATATCAGGAATGAGAAGTAACATCAGGTGACAACACTATGTATTCTGTAGCTACTGAAAGAAAAATAAGGGACTGTCATGAACAACTTGTATCAACAGACAACTTGAATGGTCAAATTCCCTGAAAGAGACAAACTCTCAAATCTCAATCGAGAAAAAATAGGTAAGACTATTTGAGAGGACTTTAAAACTATTGCAGAAGCTGAATTTGTAGTTTCTTACAAAGAAAATTCCAGGCTCAGATAGCTTTACTATTGAATTCTACAAATATTTAAGAAGGAAATAGTTCCAAGTCTACAAAAGTCAGAAAATTGCACAGGGAAGAATATTTTCTGACTCCTTCTCTAAGGCCAGTGTTACTGTGACAAGCAAACCATACAACAATATGATAAGAAAAGAAAACTACAGATCAATATCTCTCATGAATATAGATGGAAAAATTCCAAAAAAATTTGCCAATTAAAATCCAACAATGCATATAAAAGGATAATATGTCCTATCCAAAATACTGTTTAAAAAAATGATAGGCTATGGACTGGGAGAAAATATTTACTATGCATATATCTGATAAAGACTTGTGTGCAAACTCTATTTTTTAAACTCCAACATATAGAATATAAGAATATATTATATCATATTATTAAGAAGTCAATAATAAATTTTTTAAAGAGGTAAAATATTTGAACAGACACTTTACCAAAGAGAATATATGGATGAAAGATCACATGAAAATATGTTTTCGTATTATTAACTGGACATGGAACAACAGACCGGTTCCAAATAGGAAAAGGAGTACGTCAAACCTGTATGTTGTCACCATGCTTATTTAACTTATATGCAGAGTACATCATGAGAAACACTGGGCTGGAAGAAGCACAAGCTGGAATCAAGATTGCCGGGAGAAATATCAATAACCTCAGATATGCAGATTACACCACCCTTATGGCAGAAAGTGAAGAGGAACTAAAAAGCCTCTTGATGAAAGTGAAAGAGGAGAGTGAAAAAGTTGGCTTAAAGCTCAACATTCAGAAAACTAAGATCATGGCATCTGGTCCCATCACTTCATGACAAATAGATGGGGAAACAGTGGAAACAGTGGCTGACT